TCTTGCACCTGAGTAAGTACCTGCAGGCAATCTTGCATAGCCCAAGGTTTCCTTTTGAAGTCATCTCTGTAATCTAACTTTGTTTACAGGGATTGGTTAGGTAGGAATTTTATCTAGCAAACAGCAAGTAACAGCCACTATTTACTAAACAACTTAGATCAGTGGTGAGTATACATTTACAATAGAAAGCACAAGATTTACATTTATAATCTAAAATGTGAGTTGACCCATTACACCCAGCCCTTTTTTCCTCTTAAAAGCCCAAAATTCTTTTTTTTTTGGTCTTTTTGACAAATTCTATCACCTGTTTTGCTTAATGTGTTCAGTCTATTCTTTTTTTGGAAAAATATCTGTCAACTCCCAAATCTGAATAACAACTAGTTTGTCAGTTGATCATTCAAGTAAAATATTCTATGAAAAAAAGCAGCTTGTTTACTTTACAACTTAAACAGTCACGCAAAGTGCTTCTCTTCAACAGAACCATCATGCCATCACTGGCAGTAGTACTTCCTGTTTATCACATAACGTATTTTACAAGATACAGTTAAGTATTGTATATTTCAAAAAGCTAAAAGGAAAAAAATTCATTTTTGTCTTAAAAAAACAAATGAACAAACAAATCACCAGAGCCCTGTGTGGTGGTACACACCTGTAATTCCAACACTCAGGAGATACCAGTTTTACCATAAAGGTACCAGTTTTCTTTTATTTTTTAAGGCTCCTTAGATAAGGAAAAATAACTGGGCATGGTGGCACATGATAATCTTAGCACTTGGGAGGCTGAAGTATGAGGATTGTTGTGAGTTTGTGAGTTCCAGACCAGCCTAGGCTATATAAATGAGTTCAGTGCCAACCTAGGCTACATAAGTGAGTTCAAGACCAGCCTGAACTGCATAGTGAGACCTTGTCTCAAAAAGACAAAAAAAAAAAAAGGTGGGGGGGAAATATGTTTAGTCAAGAGTTGAGGTTTTAGGGCTAGGGGTGTAGCTCTGTAATAAGAGTGCTTACCTAGCAGGCATGAGCCTCTTGATTTCATCCCAAACACTGCAAAAACAACAACAAAGATTTGAGATTTAGTTTATTTGGTTTGTTTTACAGGATGGAGATTGAACCCAGAACCTTTGCACTGAGCTACATCCCCATCCCTTGTCGAAGCTGGAGTTGAATTTGTGATCCTCCCATAGGCTTACTAAGAAATATAGTTTTTCCTTTTTCCTTTTGTTTTAGTATTAGGGATTGAATATGAGCTTTTGTATTGCTATATCCCCAGCCTTTTTTATTTTTTGTTTTGACATAGGGTCTCCTAAATGGCTAAATTGCATAGGCTGGACTCAAATTTGCAATCCTCTTGCCTCAGCCTCCTCACCTGGCAAGTTAGGGTTTTGTTTCATTGTATAGGGCCAGGGAGATGGCTCAGGGGAATAAGTGCTTCTCTGGCAAGCACAAGAGCCTGAGTTCAATCTCCAGTTCCATAAAAAAAAAAAAACCTGTTTCGTTGTGTTGTGTTTTGTGAAAGACGTCTTTTTTTGTCATCCAGGCAATTTTCCTGTCTCAGTTGGGATTACAGACATTCAACACTGTGCCCACTTTATATAATTTATTTCATGGCTTCCTCTAGGACATTACATGAAACTAGATTTGTTTTGTTTTGTTTTCTGGTTTTTATTTTAGGGAAGGACCTAAGGGTGTTCAGGGTCTCCCTACTACATCAGGGTCTCACTACTCCTAGTGATCTGCCTGTTTACATCTCCCAAGACCTGGCATTACTGGCACATGCCACCACACCCAGTCTCAATTGCCATCTCAATGTACCCCCCAGGGCGTGGCCTGCATGGCAGGCCCGGGGATTGAACCCCTGGCTTCTGTGCCTGCTTGCAGGCACTTTAATCCTCTGACCTTTATTATTACTCTTTATTTGGCCAGCCCTTAGATTTTGTTTGCCTCTGTAGCAGTAATGATTACTATGAGCAAGTACAATTTAGTGCGACTGGCTAGATCTGTGCTTAGGCACAAGCAGTTTTGCCCACCATTGCTTTTGCATTAAATGTTACAAATTGTGAAAGTGTAAAGGCAAATAACATATTAGAAGTATCACAAAAATAGGGCTGGCCAGATAGCTCAGCAGACTAAAGCTTCTGTTTGGCAGATGCAGAGACTGGGGTTTGATCCCAGGCATGCCCTACCCACCAGGCAGAGGGAGATTGAGACGATTGGGATGATTGAGACTGGGTGGGGTGGGGCACGCCTATAATCCCAGCGCTTGGGAGGTGGAAAACAGGAGGATCACTACAAGTCCAATCTGTGTAGTGAGACCCTGTATTAAAAATACAGTTTTAAAAAGCACTATAGAAATTGTTTGTCTTGAAGCCTGGAAAGGCTCTTGAAGACTCCCATAGATCCCACACCCTTGAGTGCAAGTGACCTAAAGGAACTAACTTGCATTGTGGAAATTTCAGGTTCGGTTGGGTTAACTTAGAGACATTTTTTTTTTTCTTTTCTTTTATTCCTCCCCCACCCCCACCCCCTGACAGGATCAATCTCACTTTGTAGTTCAGATGGGCTGTAGGCTAGCCTGGAGCTCACAGTGATCCTCCTGCCTCAACCTCTCAAATACTGGTATTACAGGCATAAAACAATGCCTAGCCTCTATGTAGGAGACATTTTCAAATAACCTTGTACTGAGGCTCAGAACACACCACTCATGTAAATTCATTTCTTTCACCTGAGCACTGGGTCAGCACATGCAATTGTTATGTATATAGCATTTCTAGCCTCGCTTCTTAGCTTGTATTTTCTGTTTGCCTTCTAGAGGAGAAGAGATAGCAAATAAGGAAGTCATTATCCAGGAACTAGAG